CCAGAGGTCGGCGCTCTCTCCTGTCCAGAGGTCGGCGCTCTCTCCTGTCCAGAGGTCGGCGCTCTCTCCTGTCCAGAGGTCGGCGCTCTCTCCTGTCCAGAGGTCAGCGCTCTCTCCTGTCCAGAGGTCGGCGCTCCCTCTAGTCCGACGTCTCCACCGTCTCCAGTGCCAACGGTGGTTCTGGAGGTCATACCGTATCCGGTCCAGCTCTTCTACGAGTCTCCGGTCCAGCCCGTCCAAGGGGCTTTGTCCCCGGCCCAGCCTGCAGAGACTATGTCCCCGGCCCAGCCTGCAGAGACTCTGTCCCCGGCCCAGTCTACAGAGCTCCTCTGCCATAGACGCCGGCCCCCAGGAGCCCGTCGTCGCCTCCTCCTCTGCCCCAGGCGCAGGCCCCCAAGAGCCCGTCGTCGCCTCCTCCTCTGCCCCAGGTGCAGGCCCCCAAGAGCCCGTCGTCGCCTCCTCCTCTGCCCCAGGCGCAGGCCCCCAAGAGCCCGTCGTCGCCTCCTCCTCTGCCCCAGGCGCAGGCCCCCAAGAGCCCGTTGTCGCCTCCTCCTCTGCCCCAGGCGCAGGCCCCCAAGAGCCCGTCGTCGTCATTGCCTCCTCTGCCCTGGGTGCAGGACCCCGGACTCTGCTGGTCCCTGCCTCCTGATCATCGGGCCCTCTGTCCCTCTCGGCCCTCCATCCGGGTCCCCCTCCTCCGGCCCTGTTCTGTGTTCCTGTGGGCTTCTGGAAGCCGCCCTTTGAGGGGGGGGTACTGTCACACCCTGTCCTGTCTCTCCATTTGGTTCAGCCTGTGTTCCTGTTGATTGCTCCCACCTGCCTCTTGTTCCCCAATCACCCAAGCTCCCAGCCCTCCTGTATTTAAACCCCTCCAGTCCTTTGTCTCTTGTTGCTTCATTGTTTCCATGTCCTGCGTGCGTGAATCATTAAAACCCTTTCAGTTGTCCAGTTTGTCTGCCTGCCTGCTTTCTCCCTTGCATTTGGATCCTCACCTCCGCTCCACTCACCAGCGCACCCTGACACAATATCAGAAGTCACATCCTGAGTGACGGCCAACTTCAGGATGTGATTCAAGTTCTTGTGTGAGTCTTGAGCGCAGCTTTGTTTTATTTATACTCATTACAGAGAAAACTTGCTCACAAAGATAAGTTTATTTTCACTCTACATTGTAAAGTATGAAAATAAAGTTTACACAACCATCTCGCGGGCCGGATTTAACCCGCTTGCGGGCCGAATCCGGCCCGCGGGCCGCATATTTGACACCCCTGGTCTAATCTCACAGCTGAAACAAGCATCCTTAATAATCTGCACACAGGAAGCTTACTGATGCTGTAGAAAAACAAAAGGTATAATCATTTCTTATTAATAAAACATTGTCGCAGCACTAAAGCAGCAGAAAAATGAGATTTAGCAATAAATATGCAAAATATTTACATTGTTTTAGAGCCTTTTTGTTGTCAGAATCTGATAATAATTTTAGCTCTTCACTTGGAAAAAATGGATCCCATCGTGGTTTGAGTGGTTTTGCCATAGTGTGTCTAGGGCTGGGCAATAAGGCGAAAATGCATCGTTATCGAAATTTCTGACTCTTGAGATCAATTTCCCCATGTCAATAAATTTGATAATAAAAAATGAAAAGATGTGTGTAGGATGGCAACATTCATGTCCCTTTAAGAATCTGTACCTCCTTGAGTCGCATAAAAATGTGACTCAACGTAAAACATGTAACAGCCCCATCTAGTGGACAACTTTTGTTTCTGTGCATATCTGTAGTTATCGTCCATTTATTGTTATTGAGGTTAAATTTTCAATATATCGTGACATTGATTTTAGGCCATATCGCCCAGCATCGGTAGGTACAGATCTCCTGTCCTCTTTTTTGGAAATGGAAATATGATCACCCTACTCCAGAGGCAGTTGATGGGTGCCGGCAGGCCAAGCAGAATGAGTCTCGGGCTGTCGAGGAGGCAAAAATTCAGGCATGGGAGGAGTTCGGTGAGACCATGGAGCAAGATTTTCATACATCTTTGAGGAGATTCTGATCCACTATCCAGTGCCTCATGGGGAAAGCAGTGCTCTACCAACATTGTTTATAGTGGGGATGTTGTGAATTGGTGGGCAGAGTACTTTGAAGAGCCCCTCAATCCCACGGCACATTTTCCAGTGTAGAAGTGGAGTCTGGGGACTTTGGGTTGGGCTCTCCAATCTCTGGTGCTTAGGTCACTGGGGTGGTCAAAAAGCTCCTTGGTGGATGAGATCCTCCTGGAGTTCCTAAAGGCTCTGGATGTTGTAGGGTTGTGTTGGCTGGCACGGCTCTGCAGTATTGCGTGGACATCGGGGGAAGTTCCACTGGACTGGCAGACCAGGTTGGTGGCCGTAGAACACTGGACCAGCTCTATACTCTTGGGGGGATCCCAGAGGGTGTGTTAGAGTTCACCCAACCAATCTACATGTGTTTTGTGGATTTGGAGAAGGCATCTGACCGTGTCCCTTGGGGGGCTCTGTGGGGGGTAGTCCAAGAGCATGGGGTATCAAGCCCATTGATACAGGCTGTTAGGTCCCTGCATGACTGGTGTAAGAGCTTGGCCCACATTGCTGACAAAAAGTCGAGCTCGTTTCCGGTGAGAGTTGGACTCCACCAATGCTGCCCTTTATCACTGATTCTGTTCATAACTTTAATGGACAGGATTTCTAGGTGCAGCCAAGGTGTTGAAGGGATCTGTTTTGGTGGCCTCAGGATTGACTCTCTGCTTTTTGCGGATGATGGGGTCTTGTTGGCTTCTTCAGACCTTGATCTCCAGCTTTTGCCGGAGTGATTCATTGCCGAGTATGAAGCAGCTGGGTTGAGAATCAGCTCCTCTAAATCCAAGACTATGGTCTTGAGGTTGAAAAAGGTAGAAGGCCTGCTCCAAGTCAGTTATGAGATCCTGCCTCAAGTGGAGGGGTTTAAAGCCCTCTTCACAAGACACACATGTGCTGGCAATCAGCGTAATATTACCACAACGATGTGTCTTATAAACGCGCCATGCCGGCATGGTCTGTTGTGGTGAAGAGAGAACTGAGCTGGAACTAGAAGCTCTCGATTTACCGGTTGATCTACGTTCCTACCCTCACCTATGGTCACAAGCTTGACCGAAAGAACGAGATTGCGAATACAAGCAGCCAAATTTAGTTATCTTCATGGGCTGGCTGGGCTCTCCCTTTGAGGTAGGGTGAGAAGCTTGGTTATCTAGGAGGGGCTCGGAGTAGACCCGCTGCTCCTCTGCATCAAGAGGGGCCAGTTGAGGTGGCTCGGGCATCTAGTTAGGATGCCTCCTGGACGCCACCGTGGTGAGGTTTTCCAGGCACGTCCAACTGAGGGGACACCTAAAGGAAGACCCAGGACATGCTGGAGGGACTATGTCTCTCAGCTGGCCAGAGAAGACCTTGGGATTCCCCCTAGGAGCTGGTCCAAGTGGCTGGGGAGAGGGAAGTCAGGGACTGTCTGCTTAGGCTGGAGCCTCTGTGACTTGACCTCAGATAAGTGGCTGGAAAGGATGGATGTGTGTTGAAATGAGTTAGAAATACTTACTTGCATTGGATTTTCTCAGTTTTTGAAGATGCTTTTTGTAACGTGTACAGCTTGTCCTCATCATCCATACACCATTGGCCGTCTCAGAATTATGAATAGAAATCCATAATGGTATAAAAGTGTTAGAACACATTTTAGTTATGTTTTAATTGCTCTAATTATCTAATATATTTTCCAAACATACTGGAAAGGAGAGAGCAGGAGCTCTAGATGTGGTGTAGTCCACATCACTTGGTAAACGGTATTTACCAAGTAAATACCATGAAAATGATTAAAGCTGTAAATAACAAAGGTCTAGTTTAAACTCTTCCTCCTAAGAGTAATTTCAGGAATCTTTAGAGAAAACCACCTGGTCTGGCAATATATTTTTTATTGGACACATTAAAAATCACATTCATGTGATCATAAACTTCACCTTAAATGTTTCACCAGTTCGGAAAGGTAGCCTACTCCAGCATGGAAGATCTGTGAGGTTTCACCTGCTCACCAAGGAAGCTTTAGATCCATTTCCAGCATTTTAATGGTTTTCAAGTGTATTTTAACGATGCCACTCTCTTACTAAGAGTTAATGGTTGCCAGGCAACAAGATGCTTAGGTTTTGAGGCTCGTGTGCATCGCTTTGAAGCGTTGCCTTCAGGTGCTAGCAGAAATAACATCTAGTTCACTTGTGTTGTTTTTTAATGCCTTCTTTCTCTTTTCTTATCAGATAGTGTACAATCTTTAAAATAGCCTGTGAGCTATTTTATATTTTTTATGACGTTTTGTATGACTTTGTTGCCTGAGAAGACAAGAATCAGCTTTTTTCTGCCTGATTTTCATCAGCTGCAGATAGGCGAGCATGTGAGGGGATGAGCATATGTAGGTCAGGTAGAGAAACGTGACTATGATGTTTTTGATCCCACTCTGGACATATAACTAGGAGTAACATATATATATATATATATATATATATATATATATATATATATATATATATATATATATATATATATATATATATATATATATATATATATATATGTATATATATAATATATATATATATATATATATATATATATATATATATATATATATATATATATATATATACATATATATATATATATACACATATATATATATATATGTATGTATATATATATATATATATATATATATATATATATACATACATACATATATATATATATATATATATATATATATACATATATATATATATATATATATATATATATATATATATATATATATATATATATATATATGTATATATATATATATATATATATATATATATATATATATATATATATATATATATATATATATATATATATATGACTTCACTTACTTGTGCAGTATGGCAACATTTTGCAACACATTTAATAACCTTTAACGGATATATTATGAAATCAAACTCACAAACCATTGGACAGATTTTAATTACACGTCACCAATAGACTTATTCCAATGAGCACATAAATACAGGTTTTTACATCGTACTCTCTGACATTAACAAAAACTAAACTGCTGCAAGGATTTTATTGCACGTTAAAATTTTTCAAGCAAAGTTCAAGTTCAAAGTTCAACCAAATTAAATATTGCTCGTTTACTTAAGAAGCTAGTTCTTAATCCCAGATATATATGTTTTAAGTAAAGCTGCATGCAAAAGCCACAAATAAAACGCTAAACCAATTTTTCTATCATGTTTTGTGTTTTAATCAAACTCATTTAATTCTGAACTGCTCAAGATGATGGTTGATATCAGTTTCTCTGGTAATTCAGTTTGTGTCTGTTCTGCAATGTCTGAAGTGTTCTGCGTCCACATCCCGGAGGTCCTGTCCAGCCAGACGGGATGGGCTGCTGCATGTGATGTTGTTATAAATGGTGATCGTAGTGTCAGGTTCTTCACCCTCTGCGTGGGTCTCTACTTGTCGAGGTACTACCTGTGGCTTCATTAGGCTGTAGTTTCTCAGGGGGAGCGTGCTGCAGTCACATTTCCAACGGTTTCCAGACAGCAGAAGTTTCTCTGTGCTCTCAGAGAAATTAGGCACAATGCTTGTGAAGAAATTAGCTCTCAAATCCAGATAAAGCAGATGTGGAAGCAGCTGCTTTGTCCCGTTCTGCAAAAACTGTCGACATTCATTGTTGGACAACAGCAGATATTCCAAGTTATTGAGGCCAGAGAAAGTGTTGGCTGTAAGAACCTCCAGCTTGTTGAAGCTTAAGTCCAGTCCCAGAAGGCCAACCAGATCCACAAAGCTCTGATGTTCCACCACGGATATGTTGTTGTGTTGAAGGAAAAGCCTCCGTAAACCAGAGAGGCCGCTGAAGGCTTGAGCTGTGATCCTTGTTAGGCAGCCTCTATCCAGGTGGAGACTGTGAAGCTTGGACAGACCTTTGAACATGTGATCAGGCAGACTCAGAAAGCAACTTCCAGACAGGTTAATGACAGCTACATGAGACAGACCAGTGAAACTACCCATCTGTGCCTCCTGCACCTGGTTGTGTTCTAACTCTAGGACCTCCAGGTGGCCAAGCCCCTCAAAGACCCTTTCCCCGAGAGCTCGAATTTTGTTGTAACTGAGTCGTAGTTCTTCCAAGTACTGCAGATCACGGAAAGTCCTGGGCCCCAGGGTGGTGAGAGAGTTGTTGGAGAGACGCAGGACGTGAAGACTGTGCAGACCCATGAATGTGTCTTCATGGAGGGAACTTAGTTTGTTGTTTGTAATATCCAACCATCTGAGTGACTTCATGCCTACAAATGCTCTGGGCACCACTGTCACAATCTGATTCTGGCCCAGGTACAGCTTTTGCAGCTTACTGAGTTTAACAAACACGTTGGCTTTAATCACCTTGAGGTAGTTACCACTGAGGTCCAGTTCTTTAAGCTCACCAAGGTTTTGGAAGAGCTGTGGCTGCAAGTAAGCAATTCTGTTTCCTGCAAGAATGAGTTCCCGCAGACCTTGGAGGTCCTGAAAAGCTGTTTGTGGTATGACCGTTAGCAAGTTCCACCCTAGATTAAGAAGCCACATGTGGGAGAGCCCAGAAAATAGTCTTTCATCAATGCGGCTGATCAGATTATTGTGCAGGCTGAGTGAAGCGAGGTTAGGCGTGTTCTGGAAGAGTGTAACAGGTAGCGTTCTGATGCGATTCCGCTCAAGGTGAATATGCGCCAATGACCTGAGGTTTCGGAAAGCCTGAGGGTCAAGAGTTGTCAACTGGCCGCTCTGGAGATTTAAAAAATCCAGATTGGTAAGCTCTCTGAAAGACGCAGGTGGAAGGGTGGTGAAAAAGTTTCCATCCAGCCAGAGGGAATGGGTCGATGGCGGCATGTCGGTCGGTATTCGTGTGAAGTTTCGAACACTGCAGTACATGTTGAGCTCTGAGGTGAAGTCATCAGGCAGACAGGTGCAGCCCTTAGAGCAAGGAATGGGATCCGGAGCCACCCTGTCTCCTGTGTCTGGGTCTGGCAACACCAGTGATGCTCCCAGTACCACCACCACCACCAGTGCAATGGTTTGCATACCAGCTAACGGTAGAAGAACAATGAAAAAATTAAAAAGAGAATCTCTACAGGATATCAAATTCTAAACAAATTTTGAATGTTCTTGTTCAAATGTCTAAAGTTAATTTCCTACCTTCAGTCAAACAGGTCTTAATTTAAAATGGACACGCCGTGAACCTCTGATCCGTGTGAAAACGCGAATGCGGAATGGAAAGGCCGTCAAACTCTCAAACTTTTGTAAGCCACTTGCACAGAATGTGCACCATTAACCCCTTCATCACTGGACTCACCAGTTGGCTGCACTTTATCTTGTGTTTACTTTCCCCTTCATAGTTTCTGATTAACTTTGCATGAGTTCAAAATTATACAGAATAAGAAGTATTATTAGAAACCTTTGAAGCCTAGTTGTTTCCATTTTTTCCGATTTAATCAAACCAGAGAAGGTTTCTACCTACGTGGTCTCTGTGTTTACTTAGTCTGAGCCCTGTCACTGAGTGCATTCGCCAAAGAGTAGCAACAATATACCATTTTAAATAAATAAAATGAACCTAGTGATCAAAACTCCCAGCAGAAATTATTATGTATTTATCATTTTCATTTTAAAAAACAACAATTATCTGCATGTTACATGAAAACATCTTTAATTTCAAGCAGTTTCTCAAATTTTCAGTGCAGTGCAGATCTTTGTATTAACATGCTGATGATGTTCATCCATCCATAGTTTAATTAAATAAGCAGAACACACTTATCTGCATGACAACAATCACGTGTGAGAAGAAAACCGAATGCTGAATTGATTTGTTTACTCGTGAGCTCAGAGGATGGGGTATGTAGGTTCCAGAGGTCAATTTCATAATCGCTTCATTGACTGTAATGACTAACTTTTTGTTTACCTTTGACTTAGCATTAGGGTTCTTTAGACAGCCGTGAACTGGTCGTGCTCTGACGAATAAGCAAATCTAGGTAATACGGTGTCCTTGCTGATGAATGTTATTGATTTAAACCGCGTTTGGAGTGAATAGGTGAGCAAAATGTTAACAAGCAGGAAGGGTTTGTGACTCACACCACAGCCTTACGCAGAGGAAATTTACTGATACTCTTGTCTGATTGTTGCTTTTTCCCAATACTTTCCCCTATGTTTGCAATGCTTTTTGTTGAATATGAGAATACACTAGAGTGAAAAACTGGTTTAAAATCCATACAAATGTGGTTAAACCTGTGGTATTCATACGTGTCACTGATTCAAATTCAAAAATACTTAATAATACCAGAGGGAAATTGATTGCTGTAGTAGCTCAGAATAATATTAATAATAATCAAGTCATTATAGAGTTGTTGTATATTACAATGGCTGTTGGCAGGAAGGATCTCCAGCAGCGGTCAGTGTTGCAGCAAAACTGAAGAAGCCTCTGACTGAAGACACTCTTCCGTTGTCGGACAGTCTTGTGAAGAGAAAGCTCAGGGTTGTCCATCATTTTCTTGATTCACTGGAGAATCCTTCTTTGCATTATCTCCTCCAGCGGTTCTGAAACTCTGGCTGAGTCCTTGAAAGGGCTTGGAGTTCCTCCATCTTGTCAGCCAGTGATCTCACATTGCCCATTATGATCGATGGAAGAGATGGTTTGAATTTCCTCTTTCCCTGTCTCCGTTTTGCTCCCGCTGTGCACCCACGTTTCTTGCGGTTTAGCTGATTTGGGATTCGTGGCTTCAGTTGAGGTATTATTTCAGCCTTTCCAATGTTAATCAGCTGCTCCTGATTGTAAACCAGCTTGTTGCCGTGGTTACGCATCATAACAAATGCTCAAAAAGTGAGAAAAGCTAAAAAAAATAGCAGTAAAAAATCTCCAAGCTTCACAGCACCAGAAACAGGAAAGTAAAGTGTCCAAAAAATACAGTTTTTCTTGAGAAACTAGAAGAAAAAAATGCCCAAGAAAAGGCAAAACTTACACATAGTCAACAGAGCTACTCCAACATGCAGCCACCCAGAGCAGCGCAGTTCCGGGAAAAAAATATGATGTTATTTAAATGCTTGCATGCTATTTTCCTGCATGTTAACATCTCAACATAGACTGAAAACAATATGTTTTTATTTTATTTTATTTAAAGAGGGTTCTCTTGTAAATATCAATATTTTAAACCCATCTATTTAAAAAGAAAAAATATTGCTAAATGCATGTTTTACGCACTGAATTTTATATTTTTAGCAGATAAATGAAAGACTGTATTTTAAACAGTGTTTCTTGTAAATGGAAAAACAGAACTTGATAAATGGCCTCCATAGTGAGCTCTTTCATGATTGTTGCTCCTCTTTCAAACACCTCTAATTGGCTCATTTCCTGCCTCTCAATCATAAACAAAGGGTTCAGCTCGTTGGTGGCTGACGGCTCCCTCAGCAAGGGCTGAGTATTGCACCGGATTCCCCGCTGCGCTGGCAAGGCTGCATGCTTTAAGCGGTCTGTGCCTTGCTTCAGAAACAATACATTTTTTTTTACAAAATTCAGAATGAATGTAATGCTTCCTCAGCAGCAGAAAGCAGTACTGAAAAGCATGATGTCAATTTTAATTGGATGGATGCCTGTTTATTACAACTGAAAAGCTGAGTACTCTCCCTTTTACACCATAACATATACTAGGAATGGTAACATTGCAGAGAAGCCCATTGAGACTCTGTATAATTACCTCCAAGGCTTTTATAAATAAAACACTAACAGGCATGCTCACAAATTCTTTCATGAAGCAGGAATCGAGGAATTAGCACATAATTGGCCTTTACCACCAATTAACCATTTCCTGTTGGAACAAACTGTTTCACAAACCAATTTTAAAAGAATTTGCTGGTCTACAATTTTCCAAAGTATACAACCGATCAGCATAAAATCTTAAATTGAACTGAAATATTCATGTAAAAGTCTACCTTCAAGTGAAGGATGCATCACCTTTTTCAGGTTGGTTTCCTTTCTTTGATTTTAAATGCCTGTTAAACTCAGTTCAAACACCATTGTCTGAATTTAATTAATGGAGTTTTAGTAAATTTGAAATTAGTTTCAGAATACTTTACTGACTAAAGTGTTTTGTTTACAATTTTAGCAGAAAGACACAAACAATTTTTATTACACCTCATTTAATTACATGGTGGTGGTCAGAGGGATTAGTGGCACCAGTGTTCATCATCCTCACCCCCGTCAGCATGCTCCAGGGCAGCTGTGGCTTCATTGTAGCTCCTCAACACCAGCGTGGGAATGTGTGTATGTATGGGTAAAAGGCTTTGTTGGATAGCGCCTTGGGGGGTTGTAGAACCCTGAAAGGCGCTATATCAAATACAGGTCATTTACCACATCTATAGATGTTAATAAATAAATAACAAGACAAGACTGAAGTTCTCATCGTTGGACCTGAAATTCAGAAAAGGAAACTGCTTAGTCAATCACCTGACCTGAATGACATTACATTAGTCTCCGAGAACAAAGTAAGGAACCTTGGCATTATCTTTGACCAGGACATGCCATTCAAATCCCACTTTAAACAGGTTTGTAGGATTTCCTTTTTCCACCTTCGGAATATTGCTAAGATTAGATGCATCCTTTCCAGGAGTGATGCTGAAAAACTAGTTCATGCATTTATTACATCAAGACTGGATTACTGTAATTCATTACTCTCAGGAAGTCCACAGAATGTAGTTAAAAGTCTTCAGCTGGTCCAAAATGCTGCAGCTAGAGTTCTGATGAGAATTAAAAAGAGAGCTCATATCTCTCCTGTCTTAGCTTCCCTACATTGGCTACCTGTTAAATTCAGAATAGATTTTAAGATCCTTCTTCTCACATATAAAGCTCTTAATAATCAAGCTCCATCATACATCAGTGACCTGATTGTTCCATTCGTTCCTAACCGAGCACTTTGTTCTCAGACTGCAGGTTTACTGGTGGTTCCCAGAATATCTAAAAATAGGATGGGAGGCAGATCTTTTACCTATCAGGCTCCTCTCTTGTGGAACAAACTCCCAGCTTTAGTCCGTGAGGCAGACACTTTGTCTACTTTTAAGAATAGGCTGAAAACATTTTTATTTGATAGGGCCTATGGTTAAAATCTGATGTTAGCCTAAATCTGGACAAGTGGGGGAGTAGAGGGAGGTGGAGTGTACAGTCGGTAAAGACGGCTCTCCCTTGCCCTGCCTCCAACATGCCTCCATCTAAAAGGCTAGGTTATCCAGAGTTATCTCTGTAGTTATGCTGCTATAGAGCTCCGGACCCCACGTGACTCTCAGTTAGTAGACGCCATATTGGCAGGAAAAAAAGGTAAACAAATACGGATCGTAAACATGAACATGAACAGGATCGGCTTGGATTTTACTTCGTCTGAGTTTACTTCACACTTTAAAACTGAAGTAATCGTTTTATATAGTCAGAAATTAAATAGACTAAACATCTCCGACCCTTACCGTGCCCCTGGGATACTTTTTAAAAACGCCAGAAGCTGTCGGAGTGGACTTCTTACCGGACCTGGCCGGGGAACCCCTTGGGATTCCCCCGGAGGAGCTGGCCCAAGTGGCTGGGGCGAGGGAAATCTGGGCCTCTCGACGCTACTGCCCCCGTAACCCGACTCCGGATAAGCGGATGAAAATGGATGGATGGACAAATAACAGATTTACAGGTAAGTAGTTTAAATAGAGTGCTGTGCTGTTTGAATGTATAAACTGAACGCCAAGAGAAATCACTAGTTTGATTTTTTTTTTCGTGAATAAAATAAATATGTCAAATATGTATAAATATGTGAGCGTCTCAGGATCTGTCTGAGATCTGTCTCGGTGAGACAGATAATAGCAATCCAAAGTGCTTTTTATGTGTGATCTGACAATTGATCAACCATTGCTTAAAAATTAAATACAGCTTAGCCGGTTAATTGCTGTGATCATAAAACACGTAAACGGCAGCACGCAGAACTCACGAGGCAAAGTTTTACATGATGTTTCCTTGCTGCTATGAGTAATGAGACAGAAAAAGCCACGCCAAAATAAGTTTAGGAAGCCCACTAAGAATCGTAATAAAAGCATTTAAAATAAATACCATACACAGTTGAGGAAACGTTGGTTTAAGTACCTGATATGAAGTGGTCGCAGCATAAGTGAAAACCTTTACTCTCGGGATCCCACAGTTTCATTTTAGCTCGGTCACTAGCTCGTTTTATTACAATGATCCAACGTTTGCGGCGCTCCGGATCTTGGGGAATCCTGTAGATGGCTCATTCCTTATGTCGTCCGTGTCTGTTCTGCATCCTGGGGCACAACAGGAATCTAC